GAACAGTGGTGTACAGCACAGTATACAGGAACAGGCAAAATATGTGATGGGATAAGAACAGTGTGTACAGCAGGCATAGAAACAGTGGTGTGTACAGTATATAGAACAGTGGTGTACAGTACAGTATATTAGAACAGTGGTACAGTATATTAGAAACAGGTGTACAGTACAGACACAGAACAGTGGTACAGTACAGTATAGAACAGTGGTGTACAGTACAGTATACAGAAATGGTGTGGTGTACAGTACAAAGAGAAGTGAACAGCAGCCAGTATATTAGAACAGTGGTGTACAGCACAGTATATTAGAACAGTGGTGTGGCTGTACAAGGTATATTAGAACAAAGGGTGTACAGTACAGCATATTGAGAAACAGTGGTGCAACATACAGCATGGACAGGAACAGTGGTGCAACAGTATTAGAACAGTGGTGTACAGCACAGTATACAGGAACAGTGGTACAGCACAGCACAGGAACAGTGGTGCACAGTACAGCATATTAGAAATATGTGTACAGTACAGTATATTAGAACAGTGGGTGTACAGTATACAGAAACAGTGTGTACAGTACAGTATATGAACAGTGGTGTACAGTGTATGGGTATACAGAACAGTGTGTACAGTACAGTATATATATTAGAATAGTGGTGTACAGTATATTAGAACAGTGGGGTGTACAGTGCACAAGTATATAGAAACAGGGTGTACAGTACAGCAGACATAGAATAGTGGTGTACAGTACAGCATATTAGAACAGTGGCAGGGCCAGCACAGTATACAGGAACACAGTGTACAGCACAGCATAATAGAACAGGGTGCACAGTACGTATATTAGAACAGTGGTGCGGGCTGGTGCACAGTATATTGAGAAATTGAAAGTGGTGCACAGTACAGCAGGATTAGGAATGAAAGGGAAACAGCACAAGTATATTAGAAATGTGTGTGTACAGGCAGTATATTAGAAACAGTGGTGTGTACAGTATATAAGAACAGTGGTGTACAGTATAAGCAAGAAACAGTGTGTAAAGCAGTACAGTATATTAGAACAGTGGTGTACAGTACAGAATATTAGAACAGTGTACAGTACAGTATATGTGTGTGTGCACAGCATACAGAACAGTGGTGTATTGTGCACAGTATATTAGAACAGTGGGTGTACAGTACAGTATACAGAACAGTGGTGTACAGTATACAGAACAGTGTGTACAGTACAAAGTATATTAGAATATGGTGTGCCATATATATTAGAACAGTGGTGTACAGCACAGTATATTAGAAACAGTGGGTGGCCAGTATATAAGAAACAGTGGTGTACAGTACAAGAGCACAGAACAGTGGTGTAACAGTACAGCATAATAGGAACAAAGTGGTGTACAGTACAGTATATACAGAACAAAGTGGTGTACAGTACAGTATATAGAAACAAAGGGTGCACAGTATACAGAAACAGTGGTGTACAGTACAGTATATTAGGGGAACAGTGGTGTACAGCAGTATACAGGAACAGTGTGTACAGTACAGTATATTAGGAACAGTGGGTGTACAGCAAGCAGGAAACAGTGGTGTACAGCATAGCATAGAACAGTGGTGTACAGCATAGAAACAGTGTGTACAGTACAGTATATTAGAACAGTGGTGTACAGCATGGTATATTAGAACAGTGGTGTACAGTACAGTATATTAGAACAGTGGTGCAAGCAGGCACAGTGGCACAGGAACAGTGGTGTACAGTACAGTATACAGAAACAGTGGTATATAATAGGAACAGTGGTGTACAGCATGTATATTGAGAACAGTGGTGTACAGTATAGGAAACAGTGGTGCACATAACAGCATATCAGAAATTGAAAGGAGTACAGCAGCATATTAGAGAGTGGTGCACAGCACAGAGCACAGAACAGTGGTGCATGGCATAGCATGTGAAATGAAAGTGCACAGCACAGCATATTAGGGAACAGTGGTACAAAGTGGCATAGAAACAGTGGTGCACAGCACAGCATACAGGAAACAGTGGTGTGCACAGCACAGCATACAGAAACAGTGGTGTACAGTACAGTATATTAGAACAGCAGTGCACAGCACAGTGGCTAGAACAGTGTGCACAGTATATTATAGAACAGTGGTGTACAGCACAGCATATTAGAACAGTGGTGTACAGTATGTATATATTAGAAACAGTGGTATATAAGAACAGTGGTACAGTATATAAGAAAGTGCATACAGCATACATAAAACTGGTGGTGCACAGCACAGACATTAGGAATTATGGTGTACAGCACAGCATAATAGAACAGTGTACAGTACAGTGCAAGCTTGTGAACCTGTGTGGTGTGCACAGCATACAGAATGGTGGTGTACAGCAGGTTTGAATGAAAGTGGTGTACAGCACAGCATACAGGAAACAGTGGTACAGTAAAGGGGGTATAACAGAAACAGTGGTGTGCAGCACAAAGAGCACAGGAAACAGTGGTGTACAGCACAGTATATTAGAAGCTCAGTGGTGTACAGCACAGCATATTAGAACAGTGGTGTACAGCACAGTATATTGAGAACAGTGGTGTACACAGTACAGTATATTAGAACAGTGGTGTAATACAGTACAGTATATAGAAAACAGTGGTGTACAGCACAGCATAGAAACAGTGGTGTACAGTACAGTATATTAGAACAGTGGTGTACAGCAGTATATTAGAAATATGGTGTACAGCAGTATAATAGAAACAAAGTGGTGCACAGCACAGATAATAGAACAGTGGCGCATTGGTGCACAAGTATATTAGAAATGAGTGGCACAGCAACAGCATAGAACAAAGTGGTACAGCACAGCAGGAACAGTGGTGCAGCACAGTATAGAACAGTGGTGTACAGGTATAGCATATGGCTAGAACAGTGTGTACAGTACAGTATATTAGAACAGTGGTGTACAGTACAGTATATTAGAACAGTGGTGTACACAGTACAGACATAGAAACAGTGGTGTACAGCAGTATATTAGGAAACAGTGGTGTACAGCAGTATACAGAAACAGTGGGTGTACAGGCAGCATAGAGAACAATGGTACAGTATAGTATATTAGAAACAGTGGTGTACAGCACAGTATACAGAACAGTGGTGTACAGTACAGCATAGAACAGTGGTGTACAGTACAGCATACAGTGGTGCACAGCACAGCATATTAGAACAGTGTGGCTGGCACAGCATAATAGGAACAGTGTGTGTACAGTACAGCATGACAGAAATGAAAGTGGTAACAGCACAGCATATTAGGAACCAGCGGTGTACAGTACAGTATATACAGAACAGTGGTGCACAGGCACAGAAACAGTGGTGTAAGGTATAGTATATTAGAACAGTGGTGTACAGCACAGTATACAGAACAGTGGTGTACAGTACAGTATATTAGAACAGTACAGCAAAGCAGTGGTATATTAGAAAGCAGCATATATATTAGGAACAGTGGTGTACAGTACAGTAAGCATGTAGAACAGTGGTACAGTATAGTATATTAGAACAGTGGTGTACAGCATACAGAACAGTGTACAGCACAGCATATTAGAACAGTGGTACAGCACAGTATACAGAACAGTGGTGTACAGTACAGTATATTAGAACAGTGGTACAGTACAGTATATTAGGAAACAGAAAATAGCACAGTATATTAGAAATCAAGTAGTAAGAAAGAGTGAAGTATATTTAGAAAACAGTGGTGTACAGTACAAAGACATTAGGGAACAGTGGTGCAAGGCACAGTATAATAGAACAGTGGTGTACAGCACAGCATATTAGTAGGAATTGCGTACAGGCACAGAGAAGCAGAACAGTGGTGCACAGCACAGTATATTAGGAACAGTGGGTGTACAGCAAGTATATTACCAGTGGTGTACAGCACAGCATATTAGAAACAGTGGTGTACAGTATAGCATAGAACAGTGGTGTACAGTACAGTATATTAGAACCAGTGTGTACAGTACAGCATATTAGAACAGTGGTGTACAGCACAGTATATTAGAAACAGTGGTACAGCATAATAGGAAACAGTGTGTATGGTGCACAGAGCATTAGAACAGTGGTGTACTAAGTACAGTACATGTGAAACAGTGGTGCGGGGCTAAGTGGTAACAGGAAACAGTGTGTGTACAGGCACAGATATAGGAACAAGTGTACAGCACAGTATAATAGAACAGTGGTGTACAGCATAGCATATTGCAGTCTGAAAGTGGTGTACAGCACAGATAGAAACGAAAACAGTACAGTATATTAGAAACAGTGGTACAGTACAGTATATTAGAACAGTGGTGTACAGTATAGTATATAGAAACAGTGTACAGTACAGTATATAGAAACAGTGGTGTGCAGTACAGTATATAGAAACAGTGTGGTGTACAGTACAGTACAGAACAGTGTGTGTACAGCACAGTATATTAGAAACAAGGTATAGAACAGTGGTGTACAGTACAGAATATAAGAACATGGGTGTACAGTGCAAGTACAGGAACAGTGGTGTACAGTAGTATATTAGAACAGTGGTACAGCATAGAGATATAGGAAACAGTGGTGTACAGTACAGTATATTAGAACAGTGTGTGGCCAGTACAGTATATTAGAACAGTGGTGT